CTTAGAAGGAGCCTTAAAGATCTTCTAGTCCAGGGGTCGGCAAACCTTTTCTGTGAAAGGATAGATAATAAATATTTTCAACTTTGCAGGCCATATAATATCTGTCACAACTACTCAATTTTGCCATCGTAGCACAGAAGCAACCTTAGACAGTAATTAATCAAATGGGTGTACTAGAACTGCCCGCCTGAGGGCTGAATGTGGCCCTAGGGCAGTAGTTCGATAGATCCCTGATATAGCTGAGACAATTCAGTCCCTGATGGATCCAGGCAGAAGACTTTAGACCCCCTGTCTGTGATTCTTTCCACTACATCATGGTGCTGATTAAACTGGGCCTTGACTATTTAGGATGAGGAGGACGGAGAGAATCAAGTTAAAAGTAAGTGGAGGGGAATACTGTAAAATAAGACCTCAAATGTAAATCTAACAACTCTGGACTTCGCCCTGTACAGAAAAGTCAGTCACTGAAGGTTTCTGGGCAAGGGAATGACAAGAAGGTTTGAGTAAAAGGTTATTCAATAATCTGGATTACTTCATGATCAAAAAATTGCTTTTTGCCAAAAGGTGTCGTACCAACATAGTCTTTCCTCTCTTTCCCACTGTTATGCCGGAGTTCCTGAAACCAGAATCTATTGCCACTGAATGCTGTAAGAAAATAAATTTGTTAAATTTGGAACATCTGGCTAATCAAATAAACACTTTAGCCCTATAAACTGCAGAAACATTTATAACCCCAAATCTATAATTAAATAAAACACTAGTTGATTAAACTAGCATTGCATTAATTTTGGTAGAAAATTTAAACGTTTAAAATTAAATCTACTCACATACCTATAAATTCAAGTATAATCACAAAATTTTACCAGAATCTGTGCATCCTGCAACTGTCGACACTGCACATGAAGAACAAGTGGTTCAAATTTCAAAATGGCATCGCCATTCGCTTTCTTTAGGGCTACAATCTAAATAAACGGAAAATGTTAGGATCAGACACAAGTACATGATCCTGTTCTTTGGTGACCCTTTATCCTATGTAACTTCAATTTTCCCAAGGAACTTTCAGACTCATTCTGCATCCTTCCACAGTAACTTTTCACTCTGTTTTCTTGGTCCTCTTTCTCCAAAACTTATTGATCTGCTTATTCTTTCAAGAGACCTGATTTCTAATTCTCCCATAAACCTTCTGTGTCATTCTTTCCAACCATACCTCAAAAAAGTCAACTACTACTCTATTTAATTCCATAGCAGATTTTTCATTAAGGAATATGGTACATAAAGACTAGAAGATCTAGAAGGTAGGAGAAGGTCTGTCTAAATGTTTTGCTGTTAGATTGAGGTTTGAGACACATATACTATTATGTCTCAGCTAGAAGCTATATAAGGCAGTTGTTACTTCTGTCTGCCCAGTCTCCCTGCACCATCCTCCTTCCTTCACATCATTTGATTCTGGTGGCACTGTCAAGCGTGACCCTGTCACTCATCACTCCCACTATCATAATATCAGAGACGCCAACTGCCTACGTGTGATCAAGGACAGCATTCCATTCTACTGGCAAAAATAGCTGATCTCAGTGGGGAGAACACCTAACCAGGAAGGATGACTCAGTGTCCTTTGGAAATGATACATGGATCTTAAAAAGTAAATCTTTTTCTGCTGGGGTTGCTGGCAGCTATCTTTCCTGCCACAGTGATTATCTGCCACAGAAGAGAAGGGCAAACATACAGAGAGAACCAGTACCCAAAGGAGATGGAGACTGAGTGAGCTTTGAAGACAACATTTAAGCACCTGAGCCAGTAATGTAAAATGCCTGACTAATGCAAACTTATATGAACTCATCTAAACATTTTAATTTAGGAAACTAAATAATGCAGGGCAGATAATAACCTCCCACAACTAAAAAAAAAGCCATTGTAATGAATTCTCTTTAGGCTTTATAATCTACAGTCATTATGATTCTATACATAAACCACCTTGAATTTTCTATTCTTTTCATATGTATTTAAAGTGACTGTGAATTAAAGTTTATTTCTAAATTTATATATAAAAACTTACCACATCATCTTTCACACAGGGTTTGTGTGTAACCAGTAGCCAGCAACAGTTTTGTTTCTGAACCTCAGAACCATTTATACCCTAAAGTGAAAAAATAACATAATTTAATTTATCATATAATATTTACAAAATAATAAGTACAATGTATAGCATATTTTAGGCTTTCTTAAATTAATAATCCCACGTGATTTTAAGTATTACTGAGAACAATTCAACAGGCTTTTGGGTAAAGTTAACGTAAATGTTAACATAAATGAAACCAAATTATTTGAGATAGAAAGTAATTTGTTTATTAAGGGAAAAGAACTTAATAAATATTTTCTGAAATACGGTCATGATTTTGTCAGGAGCAAAGGGATTATCACAAGGGGCTGTACACGAATAGCCCCTAAATTGTACTCTAGCTGTTTTATATGATTAGCACAATATTAAAAAAAATTTTTTTGAATTCCTTTTGTAAGAAAGCACTGTTCCAGTCCCACACAGGACCTACCACTTTTTACTGACACCTGATCTGTTCATACCTTCCTATGTCCCTAGTCGCTATAGGCATAAATTTGTGACCTCTGGATTAGACCTTATGTGTAGTCCCAAAGGGCAGAGCTAGGATTGAAAGATCAAAATTAAGAGAGGGCAAATATTTTAATGTAACTTTTTGCTTATTAACTGGAAAAATGTTTATTTGCTAAGTTCTATGAGGTACTTTAGATATAAACAGATCCTACCCTCAAGGACACTGGAAAGAGGATGCAGGAAACACATGCACTTTTAAATCACTATACTTCTACAAGGTAACTTCTTTTTTTTTTCCTTAAAGTTATGCATTTTCTCTTTCTTTTTTTTACAACGTAACTTTTATACAGTGGGTACACAGGGGACTTTGCTGTCTGGCTTTGGAAAGGAGAAGAGCTGTGCTTGTCCTAAATAACTGATTTGTTTTCACTGAATGACCTCAGTGACTTATGTTTCTGATCTTATGCTGGCTGCTCTAAATCTTACAGCCAAATGTGTGGCCCACCTCTAGCAAATTTACAGAGTCTAGTGGTATATTTTGAGAACTAATGCCATCTCTGCTTTATCTTATCTATACTCCCTTTATGCAGATTTTCTCACTTTTTATTTTTCTTTTTGTATTGCCTGTTTGTAAGTTGATCCAAATTCTTCCAGAAATAAGGCAAAGTGAAAATAAACACAAGGTATAAGATAATACATAAAATGAAAAGAGGTTCAGAAAAAGTCCTAAGGCAGTTCAGAAGAAATAGTCATGGCTTCCAAGTGGATGTGTGTGTTTGTATTCAGGTAGAAAAGGGGAGTCTGGGGAGGTACGTCTCAGATATGCAGAAATGGGGGAAGACATTTTAGGAAAAATAAACATGAGCAAAGGCAAAGGCAGATAAATATAAGAGGGAAAAGAGAATAGTTGTTTCAGTAAACAGATTAAGATGAAGAGAAACAGTGGAAAGTAGAGCTGAAAGGTATACTAGAGTATTTCAGCATAGATGAGTGACATGCACAGAGTTGTGCTTCAGAAAGGGGAATCTGTTAACAGTGTGTAACATGGTTTGGGGTAGAAAGACTGGTAGAGTTCAGTGAACAGGTAGAGTTCAGTGACCTGTTAGGAAACCACTGCAGAAATCCAGGTAAGACAGGGCAGGAGAAATGGAGGAAGAGAGAGAGATCAAGACAAGCAAGAGTGCCAGTGCTCAGGGGGCAATGGAAGCAATATAAGAATGAGCAGGCCCTGCTAACCTGGGAGACCAGCAAATGGTCTGTCAGTGAGGAGCTAAAGAATGAATTTATGAGTGTGCTGTCTTCCATGCTCTGAATTCAGTCCTAATGTTAAAATGAACACACAGCTAACTTTTACAGTGCACTTAATATGCCAGGCACGGTGCTAAAGGTTTCAAATAAATTATCCCATTTCCTCTACATAGAATCCCTATGAAGTGGATACTCTTTATTATCCTTAGTTCATGGGACAAGAAGGGGCTAAGTTTAGATAACTTCCCTAAAGTCACATAGCCAATAATACCCAAAACTGATTTAGAATCTAAGCAGTATCACTCCAAAACCTGAGGGACTGACCACTATTACAGACTACATACTAATGTACTTTCTCAGGTAATGTAAAAATTACCAGAGTTGTAATAACGGAGTGAGCCACTAGGAGGCAGTGAACTTCTTAACCATAGCGATCTTCAAGCAAGTGGTTAACAACGATTTGGTAGAGCGGTTAACGAGAAGACAGCCGCCTCGCCAGGCTGGAAAGTCCTTAAAATTCCTTAGTATTAAAAAAATAAAATTCTCTAACCCTTGCAACTCAAGATCATTCCCAGGCCAGTAGTTTCAGCATCACTTGGGGGCTTGTTAGAAATACAGATCAGACCCTACTCTAGACCTACAGAATCAGAATCTGTATTTTAAAATATCTCCAAGTGATTGACATACACATTAAAATTTTAGAAGCATTGGTTTAAGTCACCCTCTCAGTTTCCTTGATAAAGAAACCGAGACCACCGGTCAGAAGAACAAACACAGACAGGGTGTTACATTGGGTGAGCACAAGGCTCCTGGTGTTGCACACTACAGGGCAGGCGCTGGAAGGACACAAAGGGTCCTGCTCACCCGGTCTAGGAGGATGATGCGGCCAGCGCAGGAACTGGTGGTGAAAAACTGTTCTTGCCCATTTAGGAGCTGCACAAGCTCTACCACATCCTCGTCCACACTGCCTTTCCGGCTGAGGTCCGCTTTGCTCAGACACTGCGCTTTCCATCTTCTGAACTCTGCGCTACGATCCATGCGACAAGGGAGTCAGGGTCCGTACTTTCACATTAACCCCGCCTTTCCCTGGGGGCAGCCATATTGAAGCCAGTGGTGGCCGGAAAGGCCCAAACCTCTTCCTCGGGCCCGCCCCTGGGGGCGGGGCTAGGCGGAGCCTGAAAGCGCCGCGGATGACGCGGCTCGTGCCTTTTTTCCGTGGAACCTGAGGGATCCCTCAGAGACTTTGATTTCCCACTCTAGAACCGGGTAAGTGGTTTAAAAAGCCCCCTTAGTTCAGGCTGCGGACCTCCCCCGCGCTCGTCCCAAAGGAACCGAGCTGGATTTTGGCTGCGCTCCTGTCCTGCGTTCCGTCCTCCCCTAGAACCAGTGAATAAGGTGTTCGTGGCCGAAGTTATTCCCCTCCAGGGGCTGCAAGTTGGTCATCCGTAAATCACCAGGGCAGTTTTACTTGCTGGTCCTGAGACCCCGGCTTTGCTTTCTGGCAGGGTGAGCGTTTCGGGTCCCACGGCGGGGCGCCCGTTGGTACTCCCCCCATCCCGCTCCCCCTGCCTATCCTCCCTCTAGATTTCCCCTCGGCCCGGCCTGGGATCTGGATTCCTGCGGCCGCGCGCGTTTGCTGTGACCCCCGCCACAGGCAGCCGGAGGAGCCAATTTCTCCTTTCAGGCTCCTGTTTCCCAGGACTCTTTCTGTCCGGCCTTTCCTCCTGCTTTGCCATCAGAGTTGCCGTCTTACTTTTGGAGAGAAATGTGTAGATTTTTTTCATCCCCCGCCCCCCCCGCCATGGCTCCCACCTAGAAGAATTTACCAAAGAAAGAAAATTAACAAAACACCTTGTGAACACATCGTGGGATATTTACGCAGTTCCTAGAGGAAACTTATCTCAGTGACCAAGAAAGGTGTGTTAATGATTGAACCACTGAAAGCAAAGGTTTGGACTATTAGTCCGCAACTAGTAGAAATGGCGGTGTGATTCCCACTGAAACCACTGGGATGCTCCATGAGTGTCTGGTCAGCAGTAGTAAATCGCACCGAGCTCCGCTCCATCCAGTCTTTTCCTCAGAATACCTGGAGGGGTTTAGAATAATTATCTATTCAACTCCTTCGCCACCCCTTCTTAACAGAAGTGGGTACTGAGATCCAGGCCAGTGAAGTAACCCGACAAGGTCACATGACCAGGAAGAGACTTTTCTGTGGCTACTTTTAATTGTTAAAATTTTTTCTGGGTTAAGAATAATAAATAATATGCTGACATGAGTCATTCTTGATCAAAAGCAGCACACTTTGTAATGTTTGATTCTCTTTCCAAGTTTTTTTTCTTGCTAGAAATTCTTACTTAAGAATTATTTAAGAATTTTCTGTTTGCTTTTATGATATGCCTTTGCTTTGGCTTTGTGAATTGATCTGTTCATTTTGTGTGAAAATATATTTCCCACATTTTCCCTATCTCTTTAATTTTCATTTAAATCAAATAGATTCAAGTGTAGCTTGGAAAAGATCACTGTTTGAGAAAGAATTTTAAATTCTGTATTTCCTCCATTTGCAAAGTATGGTTGGCAGCCTTTCAGAGGTAAAAAGTAAAACCAACATTAAACCAAGGTGGTCTAGTTCTTTAAAGTTTATATTTGATAAATAGAAAAACCTATTTGAAGTATAGGCTTAATTAAAATACACAAGCAGTGACAAGCCTGCTGCTGACTGCAAATGATTTACTCTGAATAATAGAGCTTACAGCATGTCAGGCGTGCTCTGAAGCACTCACCATGTGCTGTTGCAGTTCATCTTCACAAGGATCCTATGCTAGGGAGTATTGGCCCCATTTTACAGATAGGGAAATTATTAGTTTTCCTAATAGAATCACATCCAGTGTATCTCTAGTAGAGCCCTTAACTTATAGGCATTTGAAAATATTCAGACTCAGAGCAGATACCTTAATCATAAAATATGTAATGCTACCTGCAATCTCTAAGAAATTAAAGGTCCTATATGCCAGCATTTCAAAGGGTGAGATGAAAAGGATTTTACAGTAAGGGGAAAAAAACACCTAACAATATTTAAGGTGTTGGTTTCCAGCTGTGCTTCCGTGTGACCCTGGTGAGTCTCTTAACCCCCTGAATGTTTTCTCATCCATAACATGGATGGTGATTTTATTTCCACTTCTGCACACAATTAAATGGTGGTTTTAATAGCTTGCTTTTCTACCTATTGTGAAAATTATATCAATGGGTGTGAAAGATGTGCTTTTTAGAAGAAATCAGGTATCACAAGGGTTTAAGAATTGTAATTACTATTAGTGTGTTGTGTTATTATTTTTTTAGCATAGTACCTATATTATGAAGCAGATGAGGATCCTGTGGGTAGTTGAGGGGGTTCAAAGGCCATGAGTGCAGATTGGAGCCTGATCAATCATGGTGGCAAAGGCTCAGTGGGAAGTAAGATCGCCAGAAACAAAGTAGAAGTCAGAGCTGTCAAGGTCATGCCCTGTTTCCTTACGAGCTCCATAGGATAAGGTGTAGTACTGGGCAAAGAAGGGGGGTCTTCTAAATCCAGGATTAAGGATGAGTCTCCTCCTTCCTTTGTTCTTTTCTTCCAACTTAGCAAATGTCCAAAAGTGAGGGGAAAAAATGTATGTGCTAGATATTTTTGACAGATCCTATTTCAGGGTAATTTTGCTTTTATTATTGCTACAGCTTTTTGAGGGTACCAGTGATGTCTGTTGGTGTAAAGATAGATGTGAGAGCTTGAAAGAAAGAAATAGGTAGGAAGTAGGTAGATATTGAAAGTGGAAAAAGAGCTACTCTTCTTAACGTGGTGTGTGTGTGCATTGGGGGAGATGAGGGCGGAGTGGGCAGGAGCTGGGGAGGGGTGGGGCTTGTTCTCTGCCCTCTGTGCTCTCTGAGTTTGGTACAGTGCCTTGCTTACAGTTAACGTTCAAAAAATACATGTTGAATGAATAACAACCAGTGTTTGGTATTAGTGTTTTGTTTAAATGATTCTCTGGACTGTGAACTCTTTGAGGCTAAGGACTTGATTTTACAAAAAAGTGCTGTAAATATTGTCACATTAAATCAAAGATGACTATAGAATTATAGAACCAAAGATATTTTAACGAATAAGAAATTGGAAAGGAGAAAATAGATGGGAAAGGAACTGTGATATCACTCTGTATAGGAGTAAACATTTGTCAGGTTCTGTGGTTGATACTTGCCGTCTCTTGCACGGTAACCCTGAGTGGAACTCAAGTTTTCAGATGAAGAAGCTCAAAAAAAGTGACTGCCTTGCCCAAGACCACACAGCTAGTACATGATAGATCTGGGATTCGTACTGAGAACTGTCAGATTCCACAGCCCACACTCTTTCCACAACACCATGCTGAAGACAAAAAGGAAAAAACAAAAGAACTATCTTCTTATTTTCAGAGTGGAAAAGTCTGATCTGTGCAACCTTTTCTTTTTCTGTTTTATTTTCTTTATGTATATATTTCACTTTCTTCTCTAGGAAATACTCAGCTTGAGCGAAGACCCAAATAGAAATGCGGTAGTGAGACTGCTGGGTAGGTATGGCGTGAGCTGCCTTTTCCTGGTCCTAGCTCCCTGCACAGGACTTCTCACCCTAGGACTGCTTGGTGCTCTACAGTGCAGTGAGGCTTATGCCTGCTTCTGCCCCCCCCCTTTTTTTATAAGAGGGCTGCCCTTCAGGATATGTCATTGGTAAACAGCCTTTTAGCAATGGAGAGTTTACTTTCTCCTCTGTGCTAGGTACTATATTAAATCATTTTAAATAGAGGGTTTTTAAACGACACAATTTTTGATCAATTATATCAAGAACTTCCCATTAATACCATCAAAGTGCTTTGATTCCCTTCACACATGGAACGCTACTTTATAGTTAGCATGGGCTCCGTTCTGAGGAGTCCTGTGTTGGACTGCAGTACAGCAAAGATCTTTCATCTCAAGCCCTAGTTTCTGCAACTCTTTTTGATGTTTCAGTGGCTCCTGGTTGGTGAATATGATTATTCCAGAAGTTAGCAAAGATGTTCCCAGTGGTGGCAGAGTCTAACGATATTTGATATGGTTAATTTCAAGAAATTGTCATAGCACACAAATAAAATTATGGAGATCAGTCAGAGCCCTTTCATTGCATCTCTATAGGTATAAGATTTTCAAAGTTATCCAATTCTCTATATAAATATTCTTTACCTTTTCTAAACTTATTTTAACTCTTGAGTTTTCATTTCAATATTAACAGTGGTAGCGGAGAAAGGTTAACTATAAATTACTCTCATTATTAAAAAAGATTACATACAAAGCAGTGTTTTTAGTTTTTAATGTTCTTCTTTGTTAAGATGAATGAGCTTCATAAAACTAAGTGTTTCAACATTGATAAATCTCAAAAACTTAATGCTGAGAAGAAAAAGCAAGTTTCAGAATTCAGTACAATATGATCCAATCTAAATAAAGTTTGAAAACATGCAAAACAATAACAATAGCACATATTGTTTACCAATGCAAATACATGTGGCAGTGGTATTACATCATGCCTGAGAAGGATGAGCACTGAGTTTATGGGAATAGTCATCTCTTAAAACTGTGGGACAGAAATGGGATTGGGGATGGGTACCGGAGGCTTTGGTTACATGTACATGTTTTAGGTTTTTACAATGTTAAGATTTGTTAAAGCTGGGTGGCAGGTAAATGTTTATTATATTCTTTATATTTCTTTCTATATTTGAAATATTACATAATCTAACAAAATAAGATCTATTTATCTAATGTTAAGAAAACTTAAATTAGCTCCTAGAATTCCAAGATGTTGCAGCCCAAGCTTACACCAAAGGAAACCTAAGATACTGTATCATGTCTCACCTATCCAGATGTTTTTGTTTGTATGTTTGATTCCCTTGTTGAAGGCACTGAATCCCTACAGGAAGTAATATGAAGTACTTTGCTTTGCAGCTGAAGGATTTGTAAGATGAAAGGTCCTCAAACATGAAATGAGATCAGTGGTAAGCTCATGATTTAAACTGTTGTTTGAAAAATTGTTTGATCTTCTCCCTCCAGGGGAAAAAACATAGTGATAGCCTAGATACAATATGACAATATGTTAATTTTTTTCCTTAGTATCTAGGTCACCATGACGACTGGACAGAAGTTGATGAGAGCTATTAGAGTTTTTGAATTTGGTGGACCAGAAGTGCTGAAACTCCAGTCGAATGTTGCCATACCAATTCCGAAAGACCATCAGGTGGAAATCATTACTTAAAAACAGGCAATAATTACACTGAGTGTGCATCTCTAGCACATCAAGCTAATGTTCGAAAAAAGCAAACTCACAATGCTTTATAAAGACATTGAATTAGGACAGAGTTTACACTGTTTGCCTCTATAAGCTCTGACAAGGCTAACATAATTCTAACTAGTGAAGTAAATGTATGAAAAGGAATAACATCTTGTAAGAAAAGTTTTAAAGTTGAGAATCATCTGTGTAATTGGATTTTTCTGAATGGAGTCATAAGTAGGTTTGAACAAGTTATTCTATTACAGACTTTCAGTCATGATCTTTGTTTTATGCATGGGGAAAATAATTTTCTTCTGCATACATGCTTTTTCGCATATAAGAAAATTTAAGTGCAGAGTTTAATCATTTCCGGTGACTTCAACAATATACTTTTTCAATAAAAATTGTGTATTTTTATTATTGCACCTTCCATGGCTCTCAAGTCTAATTTCCTTAGCAAGCTTTATGAGAGTTTTTACAGTGTGGCCATAATTTGGCAAAGATTTATTTCTTATCATTCCTTCTCAACAGACTGCTGTAACAACACAAGCTTTATCTGGTTTCCCCGAGAGGTCCTGTCATTCCTTCTGTCTTTGCACATACTATTCCTTTAACCTGAAATAGCCTTTTTCTCCCATTCTGAAAGAATTTCTACTCATTCTTTAAGACCTAGCTCAAATACACTTCCTTTGTAAGACCTTTCCTTACTTTTATAGCAGAAGTAATCGTTCTGTATCAGTTAAGGGAAAATTAGCTTCTATTGTTGATGTAGCCTCAAAACGTCAAGGGTTCAACAGTAGAAAATGATGTCTCATTCACTAAATTCCACAATTCTAAAATGTTGGTGGATAGAGTTCTCCTCCAAAGTGATTTAGGGACCTGGATTTCTTCCATCATGTGGCTCTGCCACCTTCAACACCTTTCTTCTGAGTTTGCTATGAAAGGGTGGAGACACTATGTGAATTGCCTAGGAAGGTCTTTGTGGGCCAGGCCTGAAAGGAGCTCTCATCACTTTTGTTCACATTCCATTTGGCTACTCGTAACTGTGAAGGAGCCAGGACGGAATATTCTTCCTACCTGCCTAGGAGGAGGAGGAAATAGATTTGATGAGCACATAGTGGTCTCTGCCACACATCCGCTCATATTTCCACCACTGTTTTTCCCAAATGTTTATAATATAGCACATAAACCATTCTGTCTTATCTTTTTTTTCTTTTTATTAGTGCACTCAGATTTTATTTTATTTTTTAAATTTTTATTGGAGTATAGTTGATTTACAATGTAGTGTTAGTTCCAGGTATACAGCAAAGAGAATCAGTTATACATATATATTTATATCCACTCTCTTTTTTCTTTATATTCTTTTCCCATATAGGCCGTTACAGAGTACTGAGTAGAGTTCCTTGTGCTAGACAGCAGGTTCTTATTAGTTATTTTATATATTATAGTGTGTGTATATGTTGGTTTGTAATACTGTAACGTGAGCTCATTGAAGGCAGGGTTTTCCTCACCATTTTTATAGCTTCCATAATCACTACAGTCCTAGCATAATGCTGAATGAATGCCTAAATGCTCTGTTTGAACTAAAGTACATTGTTATTGCAGGTTCTAATTAAAGTCCAAGCATGTGGTGTAAACCCGGTGGACACATATATTCGCTCTGGTACTTACAGTAGAAAACCACTTCTACCCTATACTCCTGGCTTAGATGTGGCTGGAATAATAGAAGCTGTCGGAGAGAGTGTATCTGCTTTCAAGGTATTACATTTTTAATTATTTCTATTTTAGCTTAATATGTATGTATTTTTTTAACATTTTAACATAGCTGTAAAATATATCTGTGTTTAAGTCTTTAAAAGGCCCCATTACACAATTTCTGCCACTTGGGGGACTCCTCTAGTCAAAAAAGAAATTACCTTTTATCCAGAGACCTTGCTTGTCTGATTGTTGGGAATAAGTGCTGGGTCATTTCTGTGTTTCCATATCCCCGCAGAATTGAACTATGATCCTTTGATTTGACAGAAATACGTAAGGAAAGAAAAGAAGCAAGGAAATTATACTATTTCCTAACTCTTGGTAATACACAGCCAGCATAGTTTTTTATTTCTTCTATAAAATTAGTTTCACAGAATACAGGGAAGGCTAATTCTTTTGAATAATCAGTAAAAGATGAAAAAATGCAAGGTCAGCTCTACATTTTTAGAGCTGTGACTCAGACCAAGGTGACCGAGTCAATGAAAATGTTATGATCAGGGCTTTCATTATTTATGTGCCAAAAGACATAAAAAACATAGTATATTCATGTTCTTTCATCATTCCTCATGATTCCTTGACCTGCTCAACTATGGCAGCACATTTACCAAAATTGAACTGAGACAGCGAAGATTAACGTGGCCCAGGCCCAGGAAGCCAGGCAAATTCCTACAGCTTTCCACTCCTACGCCTGTGGCAGTCTGGCTTCTGCCCCCCACCGCTCCACTGAAACGATGCTTGCTCGTGTCACTAATGGCCTCTATATTGCTGGAGCTAATGGGCCCTTTTATGTCATTATCTCTCTTGACTTCTGTGTGACACTTGACACTCTCAGCCACTTACTTTTCTTAAAAATCTTTTTCTTCAGCTCCTGTGACATCCTCTCTCTCCCTTCCTCTCTGGGCATCCTTTTTCAAGCTCCCTTTTCTCTGCATGCCCCTCACATCTTGGTGTGTTGCCCAGCGCTCGCCGTCCCTACTTAGACTCTGCTTTTTATATTTTCTCCCTCATGATGGTCTCATACACACCCTTGGTTTCCATTATCACATATGATATCCTTAGCTTAGAATCTTCTAATAAGCTCTGGACCTGTGCTGTCCAAATACAGTAGCCACTGGCCACACATGGTTATTTAAAATTCACATTCAATTAAAATTAAAAGTTCATTTACTCAAATGCTTAATAGACCCAGGTGTCTAGTGGCTACCCTATTGGGCAGTGCAGATGCAGAGCATTTACATCATCACAGAAGGTTGTGTTGCAGGGCACAGGACCCACATCGGCGACCTCCAGGAACCTTACTCATTGTGTCTAAAAGGGAGCTCATCTTTTCTCACAGCAGATCTGCTGCTGTCTCATGTGACTGTCTTGGTGACATCTGGGGTTTGAGGCTTACCTCTCCATTCACTCTCCCTCACTCAGCTCTCCCTTACTGGAACTGTTTCCTCTCTCCTCTTTTCCTCCCCACTGCCTGTGGTGTAGTTCTGGTTATCTTACATGGTCCTTTACCTGGATTTCTATAATAGGTACAATTTACCACCCTCCCTTCTTCCCCTGAGAATCTATCCTTGCTCTATAAGGAGTAATTTTCTAAAATGTACTTATGATTATTATACATCTCTGTTTTAACTCTTGCATTAATTCTCTGTAGATTTCAAGGTACTGCTGGAACTCCTTATGTTATGAAAGAAGACTGTTTCGTGCTCTCTCCTCCACCTATCTTTTTCCATTATCTCCCATTCCTTCTCACCCTGTAGTTTATTCTTTAGTAATAACTGCATATCCCATGCTCTTTCATCTCTGTGTCTTTGTTCATATTGGCTCTTCTGCGTGGCAGAACTAAACTGAAACTTATGTACATGGGTTCAAGGGCTTTTACCCCCCAGCTTTCATTTCTTTTCATTTTATCTCCCGAAACTATTACATTCCACACATTAAACTACTTATTCGTTGGGAATGAATGCTGATGATTTCTCAGCACCTATTCCTGCCACTGTTCCTTGATGTACTTTGTTTCCTTCATCCATAATGACTTTTCCCAGGTCTGGTTTTCAATTCAAGATCTTGTTCTGTCCTTCAAAGCCTACCTCAAATACTAGTTTCTCAGTGAAGCTGTTCTTGAGTCCTTCAACTTAGAAATAATTCCTTTCTTTTTCTTGTACCTATCTTTGATGGCCCATCGTATTTGCCTTGCTTTGTAATTATTTCTATCCTTTTTTTTCCCTCTTCCTAGCATTTAAGAAGCTTGAGATTAGGGAGAGTGTCTTGCTATTAATATCCATCACAGAACTTGAAGTACTACTTTCCATAGTGGATTCTCAGAACAGGTTTGAATTATATTGAAATCAATGCAATGTGTTTTTAAGCTGTAAAAACAGAATTAATCTTAAATTAGTCATACTTGACCATTTGCAGGCAACACTGTTAAGCAGTGATGCTTGTCTTTGACTCCTAGATGCCTTTTGAACCTTTTTTATCTCTACCTCACCACATAGTGCTTTATTATAGGGCAAGTTTAAGTATACTGAGAATTATTGCCTTACTGTTTTGCTTATTCCAAGGAGTATTTCCTTTTTTATTCTCTTTAAGGAATAGGAGTTAGCTTTTATTGTAATTTATAGCTGACATAGAATTCAGCTAATAAATGACTGAGCCAGGATTTGAATGTAGGTATGGCAGACTCTAATGTTCATATTCTCTCTACTACATTGAGATTGTTGAGGCTAGTTCTTTAATAGACCTGTGAAATAGATTATGAAAAACTGTATTCTCTTACTTTATCTTGGGTGTGTGTGTTGCAGGGGGGCAATAATGAGAAGAGGCAAAAAATGATAATGATTTTCATCATTGTACAGTGTACTCTTATATTACTGAAAGGAATGGAAGACCGTTCTTTCTCAAACTTGGCCACTAAGTTTGGTTTTAGGCTGACCTGCATAACAAGTAACATGAAAAATATTTTCTACAGGTGTTTTTTATTTTCTTGTATCTTTGTAAACTATTGTGTGTGTGTGTGTACACTCTCATATATATTTATTCTTGAATCTGTAATCCTACATAGGTAGCAACAACTCTGTTGCCTATTTCATGCTCAATTAAAAAGAAATCTTATAAGATTTCCATGTATTATGGAGAAAAAAAAGAAATAGGAGTTAGGAGAGGTGCTTGTACTGGGCAGTCTAATTTCCCTAGTGTGCAGGTTACTTTGGGCAGGCCTGTAGTGCTTGTGTGGTGCCTTACCTTACCCTCAGTCATGCTTCTGCTTTCCAGTAGCAAGGACCCAGCAGACGTTTGTTTATTGAGAGTTTTTATGTTTCTAGTGCTGTGACAGGTGAAGACATCTGTCCTGGCTCATCTTTGCTGGTCAGATCCAGACAGAGTTGCCTGCTTTTTGGTGTATGCATGAAAAATGAGGAAAATACAGAAACAAATCTATGGAAAAGATTTAGAACAGGTGTTTGGTGTGTGGAAGAAACCTTACATTTTATTTGTTTCTTCTCCCTTGGTATTTTGGACCAAAAAAAGAAAAAAAAAGTTTTATATTAACTGCCATTTACTAACTGCTTGATCTGAGCTAATTACTGAACTTGTATGTGCCTCAATTTCCTCATCTGTGTAGTGGGATTATCTAAAGGGAGATAATGAAAGTACTTTCCTCATAGGCTGTCATGAAGATCAAATTACATAATACTCATCAGACACTTAATGCAGTGCCTAGCACAGCAAGCGCTCAATAAAGGTTAGTTATCATCATTATTATTAGACCATGCTGGACATTCTTTCTTTTATTTTTCCTATTTCCCTTGATTTTACTTCTTACTAGTTCCCATTAATAGAACATTTTAAAATGTTCGGTATTCTGAAGTTATTTTTATGAGACCTTAGGATGTAGAAAACAGTATATAAATACTCATTTATTTCTTGTTAAAAAGGTTGCATTATAAAGGATCGTACCCATTTTGACATCATTTTTAATCCCTAAAGCATTTATTAATTTATTGCTTTCCCCAGAAAGGTGACAGGGTTTTCACTACAAGCACAATCTCTGGGGGCTACGCAGAATATGCTCTGGCAGCCGATCACACTGTTTACACACTACCAGAAAAACTGGACTTTAAACAAGGAGCTGCCATCGGGATCCCGTATTTTACTGCTTATCGAGCTCTGCTTCACAGGTAATAACACACTCTGTCAGCTTTATAATCAGCACTAGAGGAGGGCAACATTAACTGGAGGAGGATAATATATAATTTATGCTTCCTACCACCCGTCCATCGTCGGTCATTTTCGGTTCCCATTTGGTTCCCATTAAGATTTATGGAGTAGAAACTGCTAATTTGGGAGACTATTCTAATCACTGAAGAAAAAAAAGAAGAGCAAAACACTGTCTTTGTCTTCGACATGCTCACAGTCTAGTAAGGGAGGGAGTAAGGGAGTAAGAGTAATAATATTGATGTATAATGTGGAAAGGACAGTGGTAGAGATGTGCATAGGTATCTATGGGATCACAAGGGATGTGCCTGTGGTGATGAGCTAGGGCTTCGTGGCAAGATGTAAGACTTGGATTATTTTAAAGCCATGGTTCAAAAATCTTGTTATCCAGCTCCAGAAACTAATTGCTGCAACTTAAAAGGGCTGTACCCTAGACCCACTGGTCAGTTTCCATGGATGATACCTGAGAATCTATATTGTAATTAAATTCTCTAGGTATTTGAAAAGGATCAGAGGGACTTATCCTGGGGAAGGGTAGCTGGGAGTGGGGAGGGCATCCTAGACAATGGGAATAGTTGGTGTGGGGGGCAAACATCATGGTATCTGGGGAGAAAGAGCTATAGCAGTTTGCTTTTGTTAGATAGAAGATTTCAAGGCAAAGAGTGCTGAAGAATAAGGTTGGAACATAGTAATCTCTCAATAAATGTTAGCTGCCATTATCAAATAGGCGGGATTCAGATAATAAAAAGGTAGATTATAGCGCTCACACATTGTTCCGTAAGGGATTGAGGGGGTCATACAGTGTTTTTTTCAGGAGAGTGATATTGTCATATTTGTGTTTCAATAAGATCACCTATTTGCTATGCGAAGGATGAATTTGATGACGGGAATGGAGAAAGAGATGGGAGGGTCTTATAGAAGTACCCTCTAGAAACAATACTTAAGGGCTAGAGCAAGGGTCATGGTAGAGATGGAGAGGAAAGGACAACTGTTTAGGGGGTAAAATCAGAAATATTTGGTGACCACATGTGGAGAATGAGGGAGAGAAATAGCTTAAGAATACTTACAGCTTTAAACTTGGGTAATGTTTACTTTGACAAAGAGAAGGAGGAAAAAGTTTCAAAGGGAAACTGAGTTCAGTTTTGAATGTGAAACTAAGACAGACATCGTCATGGAGAAGTCCAGCAGTCTGTCGGATGAAAGAGTCTGAAGCTTGAAGCTTGGAGGTATAAATTTGGGGCTGTCAGCATGTGGTGAGAGCTGACAAAATGAAAGTCATTGAAATCCCTCAGGGAGTGAGAAGAACAGTGGAGTGAGACTAGAACCTTAGTGAGCATTAACATTGAAGAGTGTGGTCAAACGTAGGGAACAGAGTCCTAAGGGAACCAAAGGGAGTGTATCCCAAGGGCAAGAGAGTCCAGAGTCACCATGTCTGTTAAACATCTGTTAAGCTCGTAGGTGTTGAAGACAGGAATACCTAGTTTATAGTATTGTCTCCACCTACTACTGGTCAAGTTGCTTTCCTGTCTCAACTGTAGTTTACTGACTTGAAAAACATGGATGATAATAATAGCACGTACCTCATGGGGTGTGCTGAGAATTAAATGAGGTAATTAGTGCATGTAAAGCTCTTAGTATGCGAGTAGTACAGTCAGTGTGGGTAGTGTTAGGGGTAGTAGTTGATGTTGCTAACAAGGAGGTAAGCTAGTTGTCAAATGCAGCAGTGAGGGCTATTTGGGAAAAAATACCAGCCGGGCTTAGCAATTAGGAGGTCATCGGTTGCTTTCATCAGTTCATTTTCAGTAGAGTGGTGGACAGAAGCTTGATTGAGTGGGTTGAGGAAGGAAAAAAAAATCGATTCTTGAATGGAGACTACTCTTAAAAAGTGGGGGAGACAGGCAGGAAGGGGTAGAAGAGTACTTGAGGAGAGTGTGGGAACAAAAAGTTTTTTTCAAGGATGGACAGGACTTGGACATGTTTGTAGCTGAGAAAGGATCTGTCAGAGAGGGAGAGATGGAAGGCTTGGAAGAGAGGGCGGAGTGGCAGATGGAACAAGATCCTGAGCAGGGCAAGGAGACGACTTAGGACAGAGATAGAGAGATTGGCTTCAGTCGAAAGGAGAACTCATCTGTAAAGCCTGGAGGAGGTAGTGTAATTATGGAAAGTTGGTGGGCAGGGAGGTGAGACGTTGAAGGAGGAAGACAGAGAGAAGTTGGGGCAATGTACCATGGGGTCCATGCTGACTAGGGAGGGAAGTGAGGCCAAGAGCAGCAAGAGGGCAGAAAAGGAGCAATTGAGAGACAGCGATCTGTGAAGCTGAAGAAGAAGTTTTGAGAGAGTATGGGATAGGAGGAGTATAGGACAGAATCAGGGTAGGAGGTTAATATTGCTTGTTAGTGTCTCATATTCCTCAGGTAGAATGGTTAGGGGTGGCTACCAGGTGTAGGGAGAGAGTGATAAAAGCAGAGGAGAATTCAGGAATTGTGATTTGCGGGTTTCCTCCCGCGAATGTTGAAATCTCCCAGATTGGGGCTGGATTGGGGGTGGAGGAGGAAGCCTATGTGCCAGGTCCTAGTCTTCAGTAACTGCGATGGGGTGCTACAGCAGCACAGAAGGCCAGGCCACATGCTCCAGGCCTGCCGTGGGCCCCAGGGACAGAGGACTGTTAGTTCGGGTTCTCCAGAGAAGCAGAACCAACAGAATGTATATATTGATAGATTGACTTGTGGAGGCTTGGTGAGTCTAAAATCTGATGGGGAGGCTGGCAAGCTCTAGAGCCCGATAAGAGTAGCAGTTCAAATCCAAAGGCAGTCTGCTGACAGAATCCCTTCTTGCTCTGGGAGAAGTCTGTCTTTGTTCTATTAAGGCCTTCAACTGAATGGGTGAAGCCCATCCACATTATGGAAGATAATCTGCTTTATTCAAAGACTGACTTAAATGTTAATCTCATCCAAAAAAGCACCTTCACAGAAACATCCAGAATGTTTGACTCATATCTGGCACCATGGCCCAGCCAAGCTGACACATAAAATTAACCATCACAGTGACCCTACACAAGGATAGAAGGATCGTAGCCATGGGGATCCAGGAGAGGGTTAGCCAGCTTTTTCTCCACCCACTGCAGGCCCAGAGGTTTAGGAGAATGTGCTTAGTGTGTGAGGAGTTGTTTATAAGATTTAAAAAACAATCATTGGGAAGTATTTCATGACCCATGGCATAACATTAGTAATCCTATTCCCTTACATTTGTATTTTACTTTTTTAAATGTTTTGGTAATACCTATCTCAGTTTATCGTTGCAAACCCTCAGTTTAACTCACTGCCCTCAACCCCTCATCTCCAAGCAAGCATGTTGGAGAAACTTCATTTACTGACTCACAATTGTCATTTGTCAGCTGTTGGCACGGGGGCTTGAGCAGGACTCCAGGTTACTGTGTTCTCACTCCCAGATTGAACATAATGTCTGTACAGGGTGGCCACGCCCTATTGTCCTCGTGAGTAAAGGATCCTTGCTGGGCGTCAGATCTGGATCACACATTGGTTGCTGGCTTGTGACATCAGCACTTGTCCATCTGAAATGATAAGGCATCCCTCTTTGTCTTGCTGCACGTTCCATGTTCCATGTTTTCAGTGTAATAGAAAAACAATGGTATGAACCAGAAGTAAAAAGAATATGTCATTTCACCAGAGGGTCTGGACATTTTAGGGGCTGACAGGGGAACCTGTGTGACAGGATTTATTGTGTTTTATATTCTCTTACCATCGCTGACTCAGCATTGCTTCCTGAAGCGAGGGCTTAGAGGCTGTGCAGCCAGATGTTCAAAGGCATGGAGAAGGAAGGCAGTAGCTGCTATGTTTACTTGGGTATTACTCTGTGTTTACCGTGGAATAAAGACTGAGCTGTAACGACCCTGTTTTGCGACACTTTCTGTGGGAATGAATGGCGGACTCCAGTTCCTCTAGGTGAAGCAATTTCACTTAACACACCAACAAGGCCTCTGAGAAGGTAGCCCAATAACGTGATCCCAGCATCCCAACGGTGCCTGGCACGTGATAGACTTCCAATAAACATTTGTTGAATGAATAAGTGAATTGAAGGTTTACTTTTATCTGTGGCTCTGAAGAACCATTGTTTGATCCTGTGGAGCTTGGAGAATATCTTGGGTTATATATCACGATGAGTTTCCTCTTTGGGTAAGTGTTAGTTGAACTGAGGGTAAAGTTCTCTTAAGAATTATGACAAGCATTGAGCTTAATTAGCTCCAGAGTAAGGTGATGAAGCTATGCTTTCTTTTTCAGTGCCCGTGTGAAAGCTGGAGAAAGTGTTCTGGTTCATGGGGCTAGTGGAGGGGTAAGTATTTGTTCTTTAAGTTTATTTTTAAAAGAGCTTACGTTTGTGCGTTTCACGTTGTATTTCTTTAAGTTGTTTTTAAAAGCCAAATTTGTAAATATAGTCAAGGGTGTTTTATTTCTTTTTGTAGCGAGGCTTCTTTAAGTTCTGTCTTCTGAAGGTGATTCCCTGTCATTAGTTTAGCATTTCTTGGTTAATAAATTCAATAGATTACCAGGTCAAAAACGTATGCATTAGGTTTTCCACCTGTGTTGGGTATGGATCAAGATAAACTGGCTTTGTTTTTCTCTTCAAGTAGTGAATGTTACAAGAATATTTATTTAGAATTTTAAACAGTTCTTTAAGGTTAATGTAAATTCCACATTCCCTTAGATAAGGAAACTAAGGCTCATTAAAGCTTTACCGCTGTTGCCCCAGACAGCACTGCAAAGCCACACTGCGAGTCTTTGTCCTTTCTAGCTCCCTTCCTCCTGGCCTGCTGCGCTTTGATGACATTCGTGGGGTACATAGTATACAGCTGGGTCCCTCACACCACAACCCATGGCTTAAAATGCTAATGGGGCTGCGGGGGAGGGGGACTCAGAACTTATAAAATCAGCCCTGCAGTGAAATCACGCAACGCAAGGCTGTCAGAAACCTCTTCAAGAAACTGGCTGTCAATCTGCCTCCGAGGAGCTTAGAGGAAAAGTTAGAGCTCTGAGGTTGGAATTTAACAAGAAATCCACATGACCTCTATCCTGCACGTAAAGGCTTTAGAAATTTTGGAGACAGGATTTCACATTTTTAAAATACAGGGCCTGGGGCTGGATGGTTCACCTTGAGGAAGCTGCTTAACCCTTTCAGGGCACTGTGTATTCCAGAGAGTAGATGGAAAGAAGTAACCTATTAATGCCACATTGTTCCCAGAATAATGAGAGGCATCCTGAAAATGTGAATTTACCTCTAAACGTGGCCAGATAATACAAACAGAGAATTCAGACCTCTGCATTATCTGTTACTTAATGTGAACGTATCACCAGGTTTCACACCCAGCTTCCTGTGTACCTTCAATAGATTAATTCTGAAGGATTTCACAGATCAGACTATTTACTAAAAAACACCAAGATTGTCTTTCTGGGGCTTGAGAAAATGACAGATATACCTTGTCAAAAAACGCCCATTGTTTAGCTTCAGGGAAGAGGCTATTTGGGGGTTAAATTAAATTTAACCCTAAATAACTAAAGGATCTGTCAAACATTCATGTATTTAAATTGCTTTGGCTTTCAGAGAGCTAAGCTTGTGCTCTGTATCAAAGGGAGAGATTTCAGTAGGAAGGGGAGAGAAGAGTTTAAAGAAAATCTCTTTTTATTCCTTTTACTCTCTTGTAAAAAGCCAGGTTGCTTCACCATGATTTTTTTTTAAAAGGCAGAATCCGCACTGTTCCCTGTGCTGGCTGAGTTTGTTAAATCCTTGGCTGGCGGGGATAGGCTGGCGACCTGGTGTGTGAAGCACTTCTGATCCTCCCTGCCCTATCAGAGGGAAACAGTGCTGGGTTTTGTCTTGCTTCTGTTTGTACTTTCTGTCCTCATTTAAATCAAATTCCTTTGGGATTATGTTGTGTATTTAAAATGGTGTAGAATGTATGAACACAGCTATTATTCCGATATGTTGGTGGGGAGTGCCCTATTTTAGTGTCAGCAAAATAAATAAAAGAAAAAATAGTTGACACATCATGACATATAATCTATTGAAGGAATATTGTTAGTATAATTGTTGACAAGAATAGAATAAACAGCACCTTTAAAATAGCTACTGAGTGCCCCTTTGAAGTAGTTAGAGCATAAGGAGGTATATTTACGTTAACTCTTAGGTTGAAATGTGGTTTTATTAGAAGCCCCCTGTTTTTTTAATTGAAAATTAAAGTAGCAAAAATCAGTCATGCTAACCACATAGTGTATTGTTATTTCATGGAATTGAATGTCTGTTGCACTCAGTAGACAGTGAGTTCCCAGTGTTTGTTTTGGTGAAATCAAACAGATCCTCACCGTAACCCAAGTGGGTTCAGGCTCATCACTCCCATATGCCATACAATCTTTAAGGTCTATTTCAGGCCTGGGAGTCTGTGATTCTGTTACAATTTTAATTAGTTTCTATCGTCATTTTTCACCTTAATTCTTTTCTATCATACCCAATCTATAATCATTTTACCTTCCTTTAAACCAGTGGTTATCAATAAGGGGTGATTTTATATCATCTCTTCTCCCCCTTGGGGACATTTGGCAGTGTCTGGGGACATTTCTGGTTGTTACAACTGGGTAAAGGGGTCTGGCATCCAGTGGATAGAAGCTAGGCATGCTGCTAAACATCCTTCACTGCACAGCATAGTCCCCGCTGCAAAGAGGTACCCGGCCCAATAGTGCCAAGTTTGAGAAAGCTTGCTCTAAATGTATGGGACCCTTATCTGTGCCATTCATTTGGCATGTGATCAAACGTATTTCCTAGTATTACAATTTAAATAATTGCTTTTATCTATATTCCTAAAATAATTTTATTTCTCCTTTATACTAAGCACATTTATCTAGTGCTCTAGTGATTTCATCAAGTCCCGTGGCTTTAAACTGATGAATCTCAAATTTACGTTTCCAATTCTGAATTCTTGTTAGCCCATACCCATATTCAGCTGATGACTTTACATCTTCAGTTAGGTGAGCAATATACAGCTCAGCATGTTCAAAGTGAATTCTTGATGCTCTCACTAACTTGATCCTCTCTAATCTTCCTTATCCCAGTCAATCTACGCAGTTAATCTGGCCAAAGACCTGGGAGACATCCTTAATTTTTCTCTTTTCCTCACCTTCCACCTTCAATCTATAAGGAAGGCCTGGTCTTCCTACTCCCATTTCCCCCTACCTTCCTTTTGCCTCTCATATAATTGGAATTTCTTTTAAAAGCCTACTTTGGATCATATCCCTCTCCTGCTTAAACTCTCCAGTAGTTCTGCATGGCTCTTAAATGTAATCCAAAGCCTTTACCTCCAAGGCCCTGTGTGCCTTGGCCTCTCTGTGCCCCTCTGGCCTCATCTTCTGCTGTCCCACATGTCCCGCCCTCAAGCCACATTGACCCTCTTTCATTTTTTTTTTTAAATAAATTTATTTATTTATTTATTATTTTTGGCTGCATTGAGGTCTTTGCCACTGCACGTGGGCTTTCCCTAGTTGCAGCGATCGGGGGCCACTCCTCATTGCGGCACGCGGGCCTCTCACCACGTCGGCCTCTCCCATTGCAGATCACGGGCTCCAGGCATGCGGGCCTCAGTAGTTGTGGCCAGCGGGCTCCAGAGCGCAGGCTCAGCAGTTGTGGCACACGAGTCTAGCTGCTCCGGGGCATGTGGGATCTTCCCCGGCGAGGGATCAAACCCGTGTCCCCTGCATTGGCAGGCGGATTCCCAACCACTGAGCCACCAGGGAAGTCCCACATTGACCCTCTTTCTGACCTTTGAAGGCCCCAAGCTCATTCCTGGTTCAACCATGACCATTCTGCCTACAACATCTCCAGCAGGCTTCCCCGACCGTCACGTGCTTATCCCTCACTTCATTCAGGTCTCACCTCTTCAGAGCAGCCTTTCCTGATGACCTAACTGGCCCCTTTCCCTATCTCTTTATAACCCAATAGGCTGTTTTATTTTTTTCAAGTACTTTTCATTTTCTGAATTTACTTTATTCATTTATTTTTTCATGTGTTTATTATCTTCCCCCTACCTTAGAACATAAATTTCTTGCATGAAGAATCATGTCTTGCACATAATAAATAATAAACATTCATCATATTAGTGAATAAGTTAATTTGGTCATGTATGTACCTGTCTCCTTCACTTAAGTGGTAGAGGCCTTACCTTTTTTATGTAATATTTTATATGTACAATTAAAGTATGAAGTCAGTGAGCACATTTTCATCATCTTTAAACCCTGTATCTTTTGCACAAAGCAGATGCTAAATGAACATTTTGTGCAGTGGTTACAGACTCAAGCTCTGCAATCTGATTTGGTCCAGCTCCTGTTTCCATATATATAAGCTTCAATTTTCTCATCTGTGGACCAGGGACAATAACAATATCTACTTCATAGGCTTCTTGTGAGGATGAAATGAAGCAATATATAGAAAGTATTGAGCGTAATACCTGGCATATTATAAATGCTCAGTAATAGTTAGCTGTTGTTCTTATTTCTTTGCTTAGGCTCTTAAACTTCTTAACAATAGCTAGAACCTAGAAGAACCTAAAGTTCATTATATGTATTTAATAAATGTTTGCAGGGATGCAAAGAATCTAAAATGTTGGGCCATATTTTGTTTTTCAGGTTGGAATAGCAGCATGCCAAATTGCTAGAGCTTATGGCTTAAAGGTTTTGGGCACAGCTGGTACTGAGGAAGGACAAAAGATTGTTTTGCAAAATGGAGCCCACGAAGTGTTTAATCACAAAGAAGCTAACTACATTGATAAAATTAAGGTAAAATTGTTCTATAATTTTATAAAAGTAAAATTTTGTTTCATGGGAGACATTTTTTTGGTAAGTTCTTTTATCAACTACTCTCTTAAAGTTGTTTGTTTTGCTTATGTGTGTTTTAAAGATTTAATTAGTTTAACAGAGATGTCTAGTTTTCAAACCTTCACTATCATTTCTGTCTTGTTTATTTTTACTAAGTAAAATATAGCCTCTCTAGAGGCTTATAGCTATAAAAATTGGTACTCTTTAATGCAAATCACATTTTAAGTAAAGCCACAGCTTTGTATTTGCAGCTGTGAGGCAGGTTTTTTTTTTTAAATATATATTGTGAAATGATCACCATAACAAGTCTAGTTAACATCTGTCCCCATACACAGCTATAAAATTTTTTTTTCTTGTGATGAGAACTTTTAAGATCTACTCTCTTAGCAACTTTCAAATATATAATACAGTGTTATTAACTGTAGGCACCGTGCTATGCATTACACCCCCATGACTTACTTATTTTACAACTGGAAGTTTGTACCTTCTGATCCCACCTTACCCCTGTCACCCATCCCCCACCTCCACCCCACCTCTGGCCACAAAAAGGTAGTCTTAATATAATTTCTATTGGTGTATATTTTCCATAGAAGAGAAGTTATCCACTGATTAAAAACTGGATCTGTTTGGCCTAGGGAGTAAAGTTTATTTGTTTACTGGATACTTTGGAGGAGTGAGCACTACCTCATCCAAAGCGCGAGATAGAATTTAGTTATTATTGCATCCATTCCATTGCTGCAACAGAATTCAAACAGATTCTGAAGTTCTCCATTTGTGCTATAGTAGCAGTTTACTAAACACCTATTACTTTGCTAATCCCCAAACTACTTGCTCATGTTGAGAAAGAATTGGTATATTCCAGGTACCGATTACTGTGTAAACAAGGTCATTACAAACTGAGGAAAAATATGACCGAGAGTTTATTACCACTAAATCATCTTGCCAAAAAACTGAGTAAAGGCACTCCTTTGTTATATGTTGAGGGAACCTAAAATTGATTGAGTGTGCACTCATGATACCAGTATCAGAGATGAAAAATTGTCAGTTATTTTAAGAATATGTTTTTGTTTTACAGTCTAATTCCGTCTCTTCTACTGGTTCCTTATGCTTAAGTCTCTCTCATTCTCCAAAAACATTCTCTTAACTTTTTATCTCCCCCTCCTTTACCACCACACTTCTTGAAAAAGTCAGGGGTACTTACTGCTCTTACTTCCTTACCTCCCACTGCAGTTTTGCTTCCACCCCAGCTACTTACAGGGCTTGTCAGGGGTGCTGGTAAGCGCCTAGTTACCAGGCAGCTGCTCTTGGCTCAGTCCTCATCCTGTCTGACCCTGACCACACCTCCTAGAAGCTGGCTCTCTTCTTACTTCTCCGACTTCATTGTCAGTCTCCCTTCTCTTCATTTTACTTAAATGTTGGTATTCCTTAGGTCTTCCCCCTTGCTCTCTAATCTTCTCTGGTGCTGCACCTCCATCCTGATTCATCTCATACGTACCCTTATACTGCTGGTTTCCAACACTACCTCTGGCCTGTTTCATTCCTTCACGCCATCAGCCTACTAGATATTGACACTCATCTGGTCCCTCAGGACAGAAACCCACATTTCATTTCCTGTCCCTGTTGTTTAATCACCATTCTCCCTCCTACCCATCAAATTGGTCACCTCATCTATCAGTGTCTTCTCTGACATGCCTTTCATATACGTCTCTGTTTCTCTTTTCCAGTCATCGTTGTGACTTAGTTTAGTCCTCATCTTCTTCAGCCTTGACTATTATTCCCAGCTGAGCTAATCTCCCCTCTGTCTTCTCTACTGTCTCCAGCATTATTTGGTTCTCTGTTTAAAAAAAGGAAGAAAGAAAGAAAAAAGTCTTCAGAAATAACTGAAATGAGAGCTCCCTGAGAATAGGAATTTTTGTCTTTCTTGTTCCCTGCTGTACCTCCAGTGCCTAAAACAGTGTCTGGCACAAGAATTAATTAATGAACACCTGCCCCCCAAAAGTCCAAATCTTTTAACGTGCATTTGGTGTGTTTTCACAGTCTGAACCAATTTGCAATTTCTTGTCTCCCACCTCTTCCCCCACCCCCATCTCTTTCCCAGATACGTACTTCAGCTCTGCTGGGCCACTTTCCAGTTCCAACCTGTACTCTTAGTCCCTACATCTTTGCTTTTCTGTTTCTTTTGTCCAGACCGACTGCCTCAATGTCTAACTTCCTCTTGCGCCCTCTTCCTTCTGTTTTACTTAAGGAACTCCTACTCATCCCTCAGGGCCCAGGTCATCATCTCTGTGGAATTTTCTCTGACCTTTACAGGTGATCAGAGTTGTAACTTTTATTCCCTCCGTAACCTGTGGTTTATTTCTGCTAATATAGTACTTAGCCCATCACATCACAGCGAAGATTGTAGTGTTTTCCATCTTCCTCACTTTGTTTTGAGCTCTTTATGTCCATCTTGGCATTTCTAGTACCTCTCACAGTGCCTGACACAGGTATTCATTTTTTTGTTAAAATAAATGAATATAAGGTAGATATGTATAGCTTATTTAAGATCCAGTTTTAGATGCTGGGAACCGACCTCTGAGAGCCCAAAGGAAAAGAAATAGTCTGCCAAGCTGATTGTAGACCACTTAGAACAAAACTGAATGCACACACACACAAAATCCTGCAACAGCAAACAGCCAGTGATTATTTCTTTTGTTTTCTGTTTTTTAATAAAAATGGGAAACCCAATATCCAGTTTTGGATTTTTGATTTGTTCCTTCTTTCTCCATTGAAGTACATTTTGAAGATAGAAAATTTTCAGCTAAGGAAAAAGTACTTTATAGTCAAGTTGAGTCTAAGCACCTGAAAATTTTGGACAAATTTTATTTCATTATAGCAATTTATTTAATACAAACCTTTATCATTTTAGATGTTGTAGCTAGTACCTTGGAATTACAGCATCACTATATAATTACATTATCTTAAAATTTGCATTATTAGTCTTTAAAATATAGCATCTTATGTCATTTGAAACACAGTTCTGTAATATATGGGACTATGATATATAGATTATTTTTCCTAATCTACTCTGCATTCTTTTATATTATATAGAAATGTGTTGGTGAAAAAGGAGTTGATGTCATTATTGAAATGCTAGCTAATGTAAATCTTAGCAACGATTTGAATCTTTTGTCACATGGAGGACGAGTAATAGTAAGTATTTCATTTTTTTTTACCACTTTGTAGTTTTATCGAAATTTAACTCTATTTTGCAGTCATCTTTAACTATAGACATGCTGTTTTTCATACTAGGTTGTTGGCAGCAGGGGTCCTATTGAAATAAACCCACGGGACACCATGGCAAAGGAATCTAGCATAATAGGAGTTGCTCTCTATTCATCCACCAAGGTAGGAAAAGAAGTGACTCTGATTTTGGTACCTTAAACATTGATATAATTTGTCTAGTCAGGCAGACTGAAAATTTAAGTAGATGTTAAAGTTAGTTATCTAAGTGGGTTAAAGATTAATCCCTAGAAGATAACATCCCTAGAAGATAATCCCTAGAAGATAGGGTGACAGTATAATTTTATTTTCCAAGCCAAGGCACTTATGAAAGAGAAAGGAGATACTATTCGCAATTACTAATTACTTCAGGACGATAGGTATTTTGTAAACTGAGACCGTCACAGACAAATTGCACTAATGGTTAACCTATAGAGAACTACTTTTTTTGTAGTTCTGGACAAGTTGACAAAAGCTACGTATTTGTGAGAAATTCTTAATGTTCTCTTAGATTCTGAAAAATTTTAATGCTTCTGAAAATTAAGTCGTGTGTTCCTCTACTGAAAAAACTTTTTCTTTTCCTCAGGAGGAATTTCAGCAGTTTGCAGCAGCCCTTCAAGCTGGAATGGAAATTGGTTGGTTGAGACCAGTAATAGGTCCCCAGTATCCATTGGAGAAGGTGGCCCAGGCTCATGAAGATATCATTCATAGCAGTGGGGCTACTGGAAAAATGATTCTTCTCTTAAAATGATTAATCCTTCCACAGATTTCCTGCGTAATTAAAGGTTTCTTACCTCAGTTTTACGTACACTACATTTGCTTTAATTAGCATTCATTTGATTCAGTGAGTTTTTTATATTAAAAAAAAATTTATCTTTAGCAATCATAGACATTGGAGTGCAATTTATTTTATAGCTGGCAATATTCCTTATGCCTTCTGCCTCTCATCAAGGATTCATCATAGTAGGAAATAGAATATTAGTGGTCACTTGGCATTGGAGGGCATTACAGAAATTCCTAACTGATACTTGATCATTGATTCCATACCTTTGACTAAAACATGCTAATTCAAAGTAAGACTGCTTGATTTCCAAGCCTACTTCTTTATAAGAACCTTATAGGGGTTGAGACTTTGCCTACCAGTGCCGGTGGTGTGGGTTTGTTCCCTGGTTGGGAAGCTAGGATCCCACATGCCTTGGGGCCAAAAAAACCAAAACATAAAACAGAAACAATATTGTAAAAAATTCAATAAAAACTTTAAAAATGGTCCACATCCAAAAATCTTAAAAAAAAAAAAAAAAGAACCTTATAAAGGTTCTTTAGTCTCTGATTAGCCCAGAACTATATTGGACTCTGAAGATTTTCTGGACTAAACAAGACACCTTTTCCAAACTAATCTCATTTAGATCTACAAGTCTCTCAGAAGGGCAAGATAAATGATGTCCAGAGAAATTTGTTAGTTTTCCAATATATTCCCCAATATATTATGACTTTCACTAGGTTAATGACTGATTACCAATGATCCATATTCTGTGAGGACAGGAGCCTTATCTTTGATATAATATGATACTAGGTGCATAGTTTCCAAATAGATGCTTATTGATTGATTCAACTTCAAAGTAGATTTAGAGTTACCTGTTTATGTGGTGGGGATCATATATTTTAATTTAAATTAATAAATGAATTTACACATTAAGAATGATCTGCTTTTGTTATTATGACATGGTAACTACAGTAAATTCTAGAGGAAATTAAAAATTGTTTTTCTAGTTTGTCTTACATATAGTACTTGCCTTACATCACTTTTACATCACTGTTACTTCCTAACAGTGTTCTGCGTTGGAAGTTTTATCTCAACTAAATTAAGAAATGATTACCTAGAAATCTTGCCATCAATATTATGTCCCAGGAAATGAGGTTTGATTGTTATTTTTGTTCTTGTTTTTCTTCATGTGATCACAGCCTCCTATCTGTTAGTATATCATATGGTTGATTCTCTTGTCCTGATTTGTTGTGTTGAATGACAATTTCTTGTTTGAATGTGGAATCCTGCTTTCACAGTGAACAGAAAGCACTGCTAACTTCTATAATTGAGGGCTGTCGTTGGCTTCTGGCTCTACATGCCATGGCTGAAGTGTTTTTACTGTTAGCATTTTCCAAGTTTATTTATTATTTCTTTTACAGGTTAGAGTCTTGTAGAGTGAAAAATAGCATGTTTGAAAAAATTGTTAAAAAAAACGATGTCATGAATCTAGAGATTAGCATTTTATATACATTTCAAAATGGAAGATTCCTTCCCATTCAAAAAGATAAAGGAATAATTATTCCGCAAAAGTCAGTTTAATCTGTTTTCACATTTGCCTCATCTATAGAATAAGCTAAGGCATACTGCTCATTTAACACTGCACAATCCATTGATACAGTTCAGTTAATTTCAAAGGCAAAACTAGCCAAAGTTTGTGCATTAACTACCATATTTATGGTTATGTAGCATTGGGCATGTTCCCTGTACAAATCTCCTTGTTGTTCTAGTTCTGCTCTTGTCCCAATTTTCAGCAAACTATGTTCACTGCACTGTTGGTGCTTATAGACCAAGGGCTACTACCCCATTCATCAGTGCTGTCCCTGATACGAAGTAGAGAATAATTTGTAGAATCAACAGGCATTATTTTGCGTTTCAACCATCTGAATTTCTGTTCCTATTTGCTTTGACCTTAGAATTGTATTTGCTTAGGATCATATAATGTGTTAAAAGATCAAATGGATCAGCCACCCTGAGCCTAAGAAGGCAAACTGTCATGCCAAAGGTTTATCCATTTATCCATTATTTCCAAGTATTTATTGAATACTTAGAGTTTCAGAAGGCACCATGCTGGAATTTGAGGATACAAAGATGTATAAGACATAGTCAACATCTTTGAGCTTAGAGCTGAGTAGGGATGAGAGCTGAGTAAAACATGTGTATGTATAAAGAGATTTAATTTAAGGAATTTTCTCTTACAATTATGGAGCCCAACAAGTCTAAATCTATGAGGTAGGCTAGCAGAGTTTTTATATTGCAGTATTAGGTAGAATTCTTTCTCTGGGAAACCTCAGTTTTTGTCCAATGCTTTCAACTGACTGAATGAGGCCCACCTGCGTTATTGAGGGTACTCTACTTAAAATCATCAGGTGACTCTTTGTAAACACATAAAACATGATGACATTATGTTGACACAAAACTGACCATCACAAGGGGTGACATGGGGATACAGATGAGGGGCACCTAGTGTAGCTTGGGATTTCCAGTTACACATTTAATATTTCAATGCATTTGTTACCTCCTGCTATCCAAAGTAGCTTTGGCCATAGAAGTACCAAAATAACTTGGATGCTTCTGAAAGGGAAAAAAAATCAGGGAGCATTGTATGTATAATGTCCTTAGCTCAGCTTTACTGAGACAAGAAATCCTATGTGTTCCAAGGGACCTCCACAATTCACAGCTTTTTCTCTGCACAAGACAGCTCAAGAACAGCAAGACCGATCAAGTCACTTTGACCTTGGCTCTCTCAGCCTCCTCAGCCATGTCTCACAGACAGGAAAACACCTTAGCTCAATCCTTAATTCTCTTTCCAACACTACCTTTTCTTTTGGTAGAGCGACTTTTTTTTAATGTCATTTAAAATTGTCATAAGACAATTTAATCCATAGGGCTTAGGAATAGCTCATATTGTGGGAGCTTCCTCCATCCAAGGAAAGAGCCTAGGAAATGTATCATAGAAATCTAGATCCACTTTGGCCTGTGTCAATGACCACTAGGTGTTGATGGGGACAGTCCACATATGTTCTTCAAGAGGGAGTCTAGGGCTTCCCTGGTGGCACAGTGGTTGAGAGTCCGCCTGCCGATGCAGGGAACACGGGTTCGTGCCCCGGTCCGGGAAGATCCCACATGCCACGGAGCGGCTGGGCCCGTGAGCCATGGCCACTGAGCCTGCGCGTCCGGAGCCTGTGCTCCGCAACGGGAGAGGCCACAACAGTGAGAGGCCCGTGTACCGCAAAAAAAAAAAAGAAAAAGAAAAAAAAGAGGGAGTCTAACACTGATCCCAAACTGATTGCATGATCCCAAACTGATTGCATGATACAGATGCTCATTAATTGTGTTTCAAATGTGGCCACAGATGAGCAGTCTTGGATTTTATCCTTTGCTAGTTTCATGTAAAAATACCCACAAAGACTGCGACACTACTAATAACTAAAGAGGAAACCCTGTACCAAAATCTGTTGGGAATTTATATTAACTTCAGTGTCAATCATTTGATTTATTGACCCACATTAGCTGCAGAGTAGGTAAGAAAAGCCTCCGCTCAGTCACTGCCTCTAACGCAGGCCACAAGAGATACACTGCCTAGAGAATCAAACCCCTTATTACACAGAAATTATCTGAGCCAGCTAGGGATGTATGCCCAGCCCTCAGGATCCCTCATCTCCTTTGGAGACTACAGGATTCAATTTTTAGTACAACTGCAGATTCAGGAGGAAGGGGAACTTTGCACTCTTGGATGTACAGTCATCCCAGAGATGGCCTTGTAGAGGGATGGAGAGTAGCAGACTCTCAGATTGCAGCAAATGCTGGAGAGTAGACAGCACTCATGCAAAGAACATTTGACTGTAGCAAAGCCAGACTAAGAATTGTGGAGCTGTTGACTGAAAAAAGAAGAAAAAGCACAATGTGAGAGTTGCAAGTTAAGTTTTTTATTTGGGACAGAATGAAGACTATAGCCTGGGAGACCAGATAGCTCTGAGAAACTGCTCCAAAGAGGTAGAGCGGGGGAGGTCAGTATATATGTGATTTTGGTGAAGGGGGAGTACATACAATCAAGCACATATTTTTTGCAGAAGATTACTGCTAGTCACGAGGAGCAGATGTCACCATGAAGGATTTTAGTGCTTTTCTAAATAAGAGGAGATGCAAGAATTGGGCTCATAAAATCTTCTCCTGAAAATAGTTATCTGAAGACCTGTTCTGCCAGTTTTTCCCAGAGCACAGAGTGCCTCATTCCTGATCTCCGCCCTGAACTCCTTTCAGTGGGTGTTGAAGGTCAGCAGCTGCAGTGGCTCATAATTTGATCCTTGTAGAGGTAGATGGCAAGTGCCAATTTGTAGGTGACAGCAGAAGATGCTCATGCCCTGGTTGAGCAGGCCCTGTAACTGGCACAAGCACTTAGGAGACCACCTCACTCCAGATGTACATCTGAAAAGAACTGAGCTCCCTCATGAGCAGGGAGGAGAGCCAGGGCACATGAAACCCTCTGGTAGGGTTAAGAGCATGGGTTATGGAGGCAAAAGACCTGGCTTTAAATCCTGGCTCTACTACTGACTAGCTGTGGAGTCCTGGGCAAGTTGCCTAGTGATTTGGAGTCTCAGTTTCCTTACATGTAACGGTAGTAACATCTACCTCAGAGTTTGTACAAATTAAACAAGCTAATGTCTATGAAGTACTTATTAGCACTCTGTCTTACACAAAGATGTGTCTAAATAATTATTCTTTCATTTTTATTAGCCATAAAGAATAAGTTGAGAAAAAGGGGAGGAATGAAGAGGGAGCATCCTGAAATATGCAAAAAATAAAAGGAAACCCCCAACACAGATTCTCTATTTACAAATAGGAGGTACAGGTCAGCATTACTGACTACAGAAAACTTCATTGGTCATATGGATAAATTTTATCCCTCTCCAAAAATGTAAAGAAACGGGATGAGAAAAAAAATAAGGTAGAGCAAATAAAAAACAAATACAAATGCAACTTTTGAATTATGTTTGCCCCCTCCAAAAAACCCAGGAAAAAAATAGTAGTTAGGGAAATCTTTACTGAGCTAACCAAAAGAGCTAAGTCTATTCACTGATAGTATATATTATGTCTATGCAAAATTAATGAAAAGTACTAGTAATAAGCATATCCTTTAAATTTCTTAAATTTTACATAATCAGATATTGGAAGGGAGTGTGCAGAAGAATCATTTACAGTTCTGTTATTTAAAACCTGGAGAATGCAAGAGAACAAATAGAAAAACTATGAATGAGTTCAGAGAGGTGGCTAATTGCATAATAAATATACAAAAATTTAATACAAAACAGTTGATCAGTTAGAAAATGTAATGGGAAAAGATCCCATTCACAATGGCAATACAACTATTACTAATTCAAAAATGGTAAATTATAAGTGACCAAATTTACAAGAAATGTACAGGATCTTAAAAAAAAAAAACAACTATAAAACTCTCCTGGGTGACATAGAAGAACACTCAAAGAAAGAATTCTTGGTCAGATTCATGTGAAGATTTTCCTTCCCCTCATATTCTGGAAAGTCAAAGTAATTCATACTAAAATCTCAATAG